AAAAAAAAACGGAGCCGAACACGAGCTGAGCCTAGGCTCGCTCTTGTTCGGCTCGTTTACACCCCTACATATCACTCAATTTCTATATATTTACATATTGGACATCAAAATTTCATTCTTTTTAATATCTATCTTGCCTTATTTATGCTTTGTGGTGTATTTCACTTTTTAAAAGTTCAAAATAATGATATTTTTGATGTGATATAAAAGATTTGGGTGGTATAAATATAAAAAAAAAAAAAAGTTTAGATGTTAGATATGTAAATGCATAGGAATTGAGTGGTATGCATGTAAAAGCAAATTCAGTTCAGATTATAATGCATTGTTTGAATGGTTTGATTTGCTTTTATTTGATAAGATTTTTCTTTTTGTTAAAAGTTTTATTATTAATACTATAAATAGAGTAGTAGCTATAGAAGAAAATCTACTTAAAAATGGTGGTCATTGATTTGTTGTTGTTTTTGCTATGGCGCGAAAGAAAAGATATAAGAGAAAATAATTTATTTATGATAATAAAAAAATCATCATTTTACAATTATTATGACTAATAAAACTAATGACTAAAACTTCGAATTATAGCATCATCTAAGCTGCAGACAGTAGCGGCCACTCGGATCACAATCCTTGCCATCACCATCACTACTCCATTTTGACTTATAGTCATTGAATAAATTCATGCCCATTTTCATGCCAAAGATACTTTGTTTGATATTATGATGGGTTATTTTGGAGTAACATCCCACGAAAGATCATGCATATGGATGTTGTTCTAGGTGATCTACCATGTCCACCAATGATAGCATAGTCTATGTGTGGTGGTATGGTGTGGATTGTGATCCCCATGATGATATGAACTTGTATTGATAATTTGCATTCATATAGATGTTGGACCTTCTTTGCAATCATCTTAAAGAATTAGGTTTGATGACTCTTCCTCATTGTTATAGTGGTGAGTAATACTCATTTGATAACTTCCATATTCTTCTTGAGGATATGGAAGCTAGATTTGATGACTCTTCCTCATTGTTATATGGAAGCTTCATTGATCACATAGATTGTAAATATTATTGAAGTAATGATGCAAGCTAGAACTATTATCACCTATAGTGCCAAAGAAAGGCTTTATAGTGTTGAGCTCCCCATAATAAATCATACTACATAAAAGGCATCACCAACAGTTATATTGATAAAATAGTAATCTCGAAAAGAATGTTAAAATTAATTACAATACTTATATAATGCTACGTAATGGGTTATTGAGGACAATATGTTTTTGAGGGATATTTGGGGTGCTTGTAACTAGTATGATAGTTCCCAAGAGTGAAATTATTAGTAAAAGATGTGCAATGCAAGGTTTGGGCCATCATGCATATGCATAGGATCCATGACATAAGTCATTTTTCTCAAGGCTCTAGATGTTAACTAAAGAGGTCAAACTATTTTTGACTTTGGCTACTTTTATATGGCATGCAGCTCAAAAACTTGAGGGAAGTTAAATTTTTACTTAATGCATTTGGGCAAAGGCCACTTAACAAACATCTAAGATATGAGTGTCACATAAGCTAAATAAATCTTTTTGCCTTATCAAAGAAGTTCTAGCGGATTTTTTCTTTAAGTATCAACTATTTTAAAAATTATGAGAAAAATAAAGGAGGTGTTTTAGAAATTAAAAAAAAATAGTTCAAGTAATAGCTTCTTGTAATCTAATATTAAATTTAGCTTAGGATACTTTGATCTTAGATTAAAAAAAAACTATTTTACGACTTATATTTTTATTGTGCTATAAATTAAAAACTGGATATTATAATTGTGTTAGAAAAAACAGAAAAGAAAAAAATGGAGAGGGAATTTGTGAATTCTATTTTTGAATAAAATATATTATGATCTATTATAAAGTAAGAGTTTATAACACACACTTTTTATATTGTGACTTTTTATATTGCAAACAATAATATATTATATAATGAATCTATGAAATATTATTTTAAAAAGATAAAAGTAGGAAAAGAAAATTAAGAAAAAAAATCACTTTACTTATTCTCTATTTTGCTCCCTAAAACTTTTATCTTTAGCCCTTTCTATATTACATTATTATCTTTTTACAAATTTATACTTCGACATGTAGTATGTATTTATTTGTTTATTTTTTTATTTTTAATATTATATTGACATAGTTTTTAAAGTAAATTCTTAAAATTTATGCGACATGAAATAAAAAAAACTAATCAAATTAAGTGGTCAAATGACATTTAAATAGTTAGACTTTTTTCTTACAAGTTATTGCAAGAAAAAAATAGTCTTGGGTTGAACTAGTTTACTAAAGCACAATTTCTCCAGCACAAGTACTGCTTGCACATATAACTACATTCATGAGTTTGTCCTATAGTGATTCCCTGGGAAGATGGTCTAATGCTTATCAATTAGGAACTTCAAATATTTTTTTTTCTAAAATCTACTTAAGAGAATCACTTTTAGAGTAAAAATTTTAATCCTTATATTATGATCCAAAACTACTTAGAGTTCTTATAATTAGATCCTTTTAAAACAAACCAATAAGCAAATAAAAGGCTACAAAATGATTACGACTTGATTCATCTTTAGAGAGGAGCACTATTTGGCTTTCATGGATAAAAAATCTCTCTCTCTCTCTCTCTCTCTCTTGACACACACACACACACACACACACACACACATATTATACTCAAAGCCTCCAGCCACCCCTAATGTGCCTAAGAATTTGATTACCATCTCCTTAAAGCCAATTGTACCAAAGGGGATTAGAGCCCCTAACCTGAGTGGACTTATATCGTGGATACCAACCAACATGCCAGGGTACGCGACACACACACACACATACACAAATCTTTATTTCTCTTTCTAGCTTTCACATTCTCTCTCCATCCCTCTCATTCTCACTCATAAAAAATCATTTAATCCTTACATACTAATTCCCTTTTACCATTTTTTTTATTTATACAAGAATGTCTTCCTTTTCTTTATATATATATTCTAAAAAAAATTGAAAGAAACTAAAAAAGATGATGTGAGAAGAGGTTAGGAATAATGGATAAGATGTGAGAAGGCTCTTCTTATGGTGTGGACATCTTCCTGCAAAAAAAAGTCTGAGGTTGGAAAGAAAAAGAGGAGAATGTTAAATAACATTACAGCATCATACATGCTTAGTGTAGAATTTTTAACCATGGAAAATAAGATTGTTTACAAAATTCCTAAGGTTGACTCATCAGAGGAAACTATAAAGATTAATTTAGCAGAACATGGGTCATTTTAATAATAAGGAGGGTGTTATTTTTATTTATTGTTGACTAAAAAGGTTGCCAAAACAATTATTTATGACAACCTCAAAATTGATGATGACAGAAAGTTGTAGAAAATTTAAAGGTGAAATTACTCTTTATAATAAGAGGGTGGAGGCCAATTAATGGATTGCACTCAATAATAGTATGAAAAAGTTCTTATGATTAGAATGTTATGACATTTATTTTTGTTAAGATTGTTGAACTAATTAGAAAACTTATTAAAAAACCAACCTATACTCCAATGGATGAAATAAAATAATCATGAATTATAAAGAAGTTAAGGAGTATTACATGAAGGGATTGAAGGTTATGGAAGCTGGCTACTACAATTTTAATAATGTATTCATTATGTATAAACTCAAAAGAAAAAAAATGTACTTTATAAAACTTTATAAATACACTTTTAATTAATACATAAATGGGGTGGATAACATAATCTTCCCAAGCAAAAAAATATTTATTTAAGATTAGAATATAATGATAAAGTATTTCTCTTAGTTTAATTTTATGCTTATTTATTTAATCTACTTAACTTCTTTCTTTATAATTGCATTAATATGTGGCACATTATAACAAAGATTGCTTAACATTGATAGTCATTATTTGAATTGAGTTAGTTGGCTTAAGAATAAATAGAAAAGAAATGACATGTCCATTGCATACAAGTCAGCCACTAATTTGTGGAAATCATTGCTTGGGAATCCATTTATGGTGAAGCATTTATATCTCAAGCATAGGACTGACAAATTGGTTAACACTCAGAACTATTTTTTTATTAATTAATTGGTTCAAGCCATTTTATGCTTAATCCACAAACAACAATATTTTTTATTTAAGAGAGAACTAAGCAATAAAAACTATCCGATATTGTTTATTATAGAATTGTGATGTTATTGTAGTTTTTATAAAAATGCATATGCTATATTTATATATGTATAATTAAAAATGAGCGTTAAGTGAGATAAATCTTTCTTGAGAGGTGAAGAATTGAGAGATTAAGTACTTAAGACTTATTCATATAACAAACATTAAGTTACAAGCTTATGCCATTCTTGAATGGTCATGGTGGATATTTCTTATGAAATATTAGTCCTCAAATTTAACATTTCCAGAGAGATAAACTTAGAAATTTCTTGTGATGAGTATAACACGTATTCATGGGCTTTAA